AGGTTATAGGAAGCTAAAAATTGTTCAGAAACCATGATTTACAGTCTAGAAGGACTACAAGATTTGTAAATATAATTAAAATAGAACACAAATTATACACCATGGCATTTAAATAAGATTTAGGGTACAATCTAAACAAGAATCTATCATCAACAGCAGAGTGGGAAGAGCAGAAGAGGTCTTCCATGTCCACCACTGAATTAGCAGATTAACAGAGCACAATGAAGATATCTGACTCTGTAGCTCCCTGTGGAGCAACAATGAGCTTATTGGGCAGGATAAAGATACACAAAATTAGCTCAGGCAACTATTTTAGGTATATTTATCTGAGAAAAATGGGTTCTATGATGTGTACATAAAATCAGTTATTCATTTGTTGAAAAAGACCATTGTGCCATGGTCTTAACAACCCTGTTGAGACACATTTTCCTAAAATCACCCACCAACAGAAGCACCAATGAATCAAAAAAATGTTTCTAATATGATATTCTTGCCAGAAAATCCAAACTCATGAGCCTTGATCTTTGGATTTTACAGTAAGAACTTCCTTATTACATAGCTGCTTTAGTTATAGATCTGTGAACCACAGATCTCTAACAGATTCTTTTTGGGCAGAACTAGAAGTTACAGAACATACTTCTGCAAATGGCCCTAGGGGCAGGGAAAATTAGAAATACAATGACACTGACATCATATGTTCTGTATTTAGTAATTGTAGCTTTAAAGAGAGGGAGTGAATGAGACATGGGCTGCTGTTTTCCAGTTGTGCTCTGTGTTGCAGACAGAAATTACTATGAAGAAATGAGTGAGGAAGCTAAAGTTGAATGAAGGCTAGGAAGTCAGTAAAGCATATTGATAGAAGAGTACATGAATGGACTTCAGCAATAGAAGCAACTACTGGGCACTCTTTCAGGGATCTCTTTGCATGACAAGAAACATTAATAAGTGTAGCAAGCTTATAAATTATCTCCCCAAAGTTACTAGGCTTTAACGCATTTTACTTTCCTTATTCTTACATGTAAGAATGGTGGGTTACGGGGACAGAGCCAGCCCTTCTTATGACTAAAAGGCAGGCAAATAAATCATTTGTGCAGCAGACTGGGGGAAGAGACATAAACCCTCCTCCACCAGTCCACATGGGCTCCATGCTAAGCATATCCAAAGGTGATTAGTCTCCTGCATGTCCGGAATAACAGGGCAGCTAACTGGCACTGGAGGAATCAAGCTGCCTTGACTCTACCATCGGTCTACTTGATTTCTGTGCTGTACATGGAGGAAGGGTTGTAACACCTTGCAATTTCCAGCATGGAAACATGGCAGGATGGTGGAGGAAGTTCTTTAGCCTATCTGCACTGCTAAAGGAGTCAGATCTAGCAGCAAATTATACAATCACAGCTGCACTGTTTGCCTACTGTCCTGCTTTACCACACAATTCCAATTATGAAGTTACGTCTTACCTGCACAAACATTCTCATTGAAACACTGGATGTACGTGGAACAGATAAGCCTTTGCCTTCTAAGACAATACGCATTATGAAGCCTACTCACCTTGATCAGCTGGAAATGATCTGAATGTATAAACTATATTTGTAGCTGCCTCATACCAAGTCAGACCAATTGGTCTACTTAGCTTAGTACTGTTGAGATATTAGCAACAACTTTCCAAGTACTTGCCATACAACCTAAGATACCTGAACTGCATATGACAGGAATAAGCCAAACAATATGAAATAAAAAGATATGTTCTGTTACTGAGCAATGAACCCTATACTCTACCCTTTGCTTTTTTCTTAGGAATTTACATCACCAGAAATCTGTGTTAGTGGTTGTGTGTGTGTTGGGGGATGGGGGTCAGGATTGGGTTCCAAGCTGGGGATTCTTTATTTGACTTCTTTAGAATTTCCCTGCTCATGCTAGTCCTTCTTCTAACAATTTATTTCCAGACTAGATGAAGAGAGAAAGCAGACAGCTAAAGTGAAGACAAGTTACTACTTAGTGCAGTCTAGGTCAGATATTTATCACAAAGCAAAGATTTGCCCCTTTGAGAAGCCTGCAGCCAGTTTAAATTGTGTTAACTCTTGGTTTGCTTTTAATTCTTGATTTTACAGTACATCATGCTTTTATTGCTCTGCAATTTCTCTCTTTTTAGTATTTCATAAAATTATTCTGATATTAAAATATTGTTATTAAAATATTATTACTGATATTAAAATATTGTTGCAGTACAGCTTATTAATACTGTCTCTAAATAAATAAAACAAATTGCCAGTGGTTGGAGGTGGGGCTTAAGTGCCCTCTATAGTTGTTTGCCCCTACATATTACCAAGAAAACTAAAATAAAATTATGTAAAGTAGTGAAATTTCTGAATTCCATGATATAATGGAAACTGAAAATTTACTCAGCTTGCAGCATTAATACAACTCACAGATTTCACCTTTTTTTAGTGCACAGAGATCTGACATCTATTATGCACATTTTACATGAACATTTGAAGCCCTTATTTACAGTATTTACCTGATAGCTCCTACAGCATCTTGCACACTGATCAATTAATGGCAAACTGCTTCAACAATTTAGCCATCACACACATATTCAAAGCATGTTAAAGGAAAAAAAGACATATTTTTGTTGTCTAATACTATTAGTTAATTTTATGATTTAAGAGGTCTTAAATCTCTTAAATACAGCAGCCATTACCAACCTGGCATCTTCCAAAAATACTGGAGTATAGTTTCCAGCATTTCTACACAGCTATGCTTGCGAGGATATGCTAGGAGTTATAGTACAACACACATGGAAAGCACCAGATTGGGGAAGGCAACTGTCATATTGTGAGTTGTCATACTGTGAGTTGTCACTCTTACAACAAACTTGTATAGCTGATCCCAGAAATTGAAAATGGGAATGAAAAAATTCTGGTTCAAAGATGGTAACCTTTCCAAAGCATTCACTGAGTCTGCTGCAGAAATAGAACTTGAAACCCCATTCACTGATTATGTCAATTCTTAAGTTAGCCCTTAACATACAGTGTGAATTGCTGGCCCTGGCAAATCACTACATCCAACAAATTCCTCATAAGTACATGGATTGACAAGTGGTCCTACCCCCCCTCCCCCAAATCTGTCCCATGCAGGCCAGATTTTGAAGATTATTTCAGTTTACTCATGCTCATGCTCAGCTTTCAGAAATTAATGCAAGGTTCCAGTTGTACATATTACATGCAGTGAGCACACAACGTTCCCAGAAAGAGGTAACTTGTTTTTTAAAAGCATATTTCCTGCTTTTCAAGTTGTGTACTAGAATATCTAAGAGCAGTGGCTGCTGTCTAAGCCACACCATTCCATAGGATGAAAGGACTGATTATACCCCAATTATCAACTGGGAGCCAGTATAGATGATAGAGGACCAGCAGTATATGAGAGTAACAACCAGCCCCCGACAGCTCTAGTTTGTACCAGTTGAAGTATCCAGACTGTTTTCAAGGGCAGCCCAACATAGAGCGTGTTACAATAATCCAACCGGGAAGGTACCAGGGCGTGTATCACTGTTGCTAGGCAGTGCTTGTCCAGGTAAGGATGCAGCTGATGGGCCAGCCGAAGCTGGAGGAAGGTGCTCCTTGCCACTGCTGTCACCTGGATTTCCAAGGACAGCTCTGGGTCGAAGAGCACTCCCAAGCTGCAGACACTGTCCTTTAGAGGGAGTGCAAACCCATCCAGGACAGGACCAAAATCACTTACCTGAAAACCTGAACCGCCCACCAAAAGGACCTCTGTCTAATCTGGCTTGAGTCTCAGTTTACTGGCCCTCATCCAGCCCATTACCTCGGCCAGGCACTGGTTCAAGACAACCACTGCCTCACCTGGGTTAGATGTAAACAAGAGGTTGAGCTGGGTGTCATCAGCATACAGATGACTCCACAGCCCAAACCTCCTGGTGACCTCTCCCACCAGTTTCATGTAGATGTTGAAGAGCATGGGGGACATAATAGAGCCCTGCAGAACTCCATGGCATAGCTGCTATGGCACAGAGCCATAGTCCCCCAGCACCACCTTCTGGAATCGACCGGCCATATAGGAGTGGAACCACTACCAAGCAGAGCCTCCTACTCCTAACCTGGCCAGCCTATCCAGAAGGATACCATGGTTGATGGTATTGAAAGTTGCTGAGAGGTCCAGGAGAAGCAACAGGGACACACTCCCTCTGTCCCTCTCCCTGCACAGGTCAACGTACAGGGCGACCAAGGCAGATTCAGTACCATAACCAGGTCTGAAACCGGACTGAAATGGGTCTAGATAATCCGTTTCATCCGTTTCACCCTTACCTTGCCCAAAAATGGGATGTTGGCCACCAGGTCTATAACTGGCTGCCACCTCTGGGTCCAGGGACACTTTCTTCAGGATGGGCCTGATCATTGCCTCCTTTAAAGGGGCAGAGACCCAACCCTCCCTCAGGGAGGCATTGATGACCTCCTGGACCCAGGGACTGATCCTGTGACTGGCTCATGTAAGTAGCCAAGAAGGGCAAGGGCCGAGTAAACAGGTGGTTGGGCATACCATCCCAAGCATCTTGGCCACTTCCTCAGGCCGCAGTAACTGAACTCATTCAACAATGATGGACCAGATTGCGCTCTGGACGCTTCCCATTCTGGAATCATATCAACTGTGGAGTCCAGCCCATGGCGAATCTGAGCGACTTTCTCCTTAAAGTGCTGGGCAAAGTCATCACAACAGGCAGCTGTGGGTGGCATCGCATCTTCGTTTTGGCAGTATGCGTTAGGCCATGCACCACTCAAAAAGCTCCACTGGACGGCACTTTGAGGAGGCAATGAAAGCGGAGAAGTATTGCCTCTTCTTCGGCTATGGAAGATATATATATGGAAGATATATTTTTAATCATGTTCCTTCAGAATTTTTCCATTTGCCTTTGCATAATGAAGCAAGCTGCTGAGTAACCAGGAATTTGCATCAATAGTTTTAAGGTAAGCATGCTAAATTCCTACCTTGTGAAGACCATAAAATGCTTACAGGCATGGAAGCCACATCCTTGATTTTTATCCAGCTGTTGTTGCGCTGCCGGCTCCATGAAGAAATTACACAATAGTAGTCTCCTCTGTCTGCTTCAGATGTCCACTGGATTCGTAAGCGGAAAGTGTCCACAGCTGGCTTAGAGAAAATAATTCCCCCATTCTGGGCTCGTTGTTTGTTTTTGTCCCCAACTATCAGCGTCCAGTCTGCATCCATGGTGGCAAGAAGTTCATCTTTTAGCACTTCATCAGTGCGAATGGGCCATCTATAATACCAGGATACTGTGAAACGTATGTTTCCTTCTGTGTTCTGTGCCTCCATAATCCTACATTCCAGTTCTGTGGGATCCTCTGAAAAGGTAGGTGTTTTAGATGCATTCAGAAACACCTGGTAATTTGGCTCTGTGTGGGATTTGGAAGAGCAAGAAGGAAGAAAAGAAAAGCAATTACAAGCATGAAATATGCTATATTGGCACATAACTATCATTTTGCAATTGCAAAATTATGTCAATCCAGACATAAGATGTGGCATCCAACATTAGTAGGAACAGTCAACACTGCCCTTCCATAAAACAGAAGCAGGCAATTTGTGGCCCTCCAAATGTTCCCACCTTCAATTCCTATGAATTCCTCATTGGCTAAGCTAGCTTGAGCTGCCGGAGTGGATCTGGAGGGCCACAATCGCCTACCCAACTATTGTCTTCACATCAGTATCTGCTACTGTGCCAGCCAACTATAATGCTAATTCTGCAGCCAGCTTTTATATTATCAATTTGTTTTGGAATGATTACTTAATGCACACATTTCATTTCAAATTGCAAAATCTGATAGAGAAATGTTTGCTTTCAGTGGCAAGAGTCTGTCAGGTTATTTCCCACATTTTTACCATTTCATGTTCTTGTCTGAGTCTTTAGCAAATAATAACTACAAGCAGAGTATACAAATATCAGAGAACAGGCCACATGTATTTGTTTCCCACTAGAGATAGTCTTGAAGATGCACTTCAAGTTAACTACAGAAACTGTAGATTTACACCAGTGACAATATCATAATCACAAGTCTGAAGAAACATCTCCCCTGCTTTTTCTAATTATACTCAGAGGAAAATAATGTTAGGTACTAATAAGGGTTATTATAAATCAGAGTTTTTGATATTAGTGATGAACCCACACAGAGTTTACTGAAACAGAGAGCATCCAAAACAGAAGAATGAATGTTTTCCACTCTGGTAAGAACTAGAGCAAAGTTGAAAGAAGTGGGGTTTCTGCTAATCATGTCAACATTTGGAAGGCCTATGGGGTGGATCACTAGGGAAAATTTGGCTTTGACATTAGTGCTCTAGCTAGGCTCTTCACACTGACTCTCAGACGGAGGATTTAGAAGGAAGGAATAAAAGGCTTGCTGGATAAGCCTCATTCCTGCACTTTGTCAGCTGTCAAAGAACAGCCTTGCTGACAGTTCAATGACTTAATACCCTGCCAAGCTAACAAACTTCAATCAAGGAGGAGGCGGCTCGTGATGAATTTTAGATGTATTTCATGTACCTCTGGTGATGAGAATTCCTCTCCCACTTTACCCACCCCCAGGCAACTTAAGTTCATTTAAAGAATACTTTCATCCTTCCCTGTTACTTATGCTCTAGTAATTAGTAATGGGGATATCAGTGAGAAGGAATCCCCACTAGACAATGGAATACTTCAATGGCAGGCAGAAGCACCCTATTCAAGCCAACTTTTCTGGGCAGGGAGACACCCAGGTAATATTTGAAGCCTAAGGGCAACTCTGAGGAAAACATTTGCATCTTCCTAAATCAAGTACTCAACTGAAAGTCAAAGCTAACAAGAAACACTATGCAGGTGAGCAGACAGGCTGGTGGAGAAAGCCTTCTGTCCCTGCTCTATGTAAATGCTAAGTAAGGTGAAAGAGGAGAGGAGCCACCACGCTACTCTTCTGTTTCCTAAACAGAAATGCAATAGACTACTTAAGTGGGTTTGGACCCTCCTGCTCTTCTGCCAGCTCCCCACAGGTGAGTAACATTTCCTGCAGGCTGGTAAGTTTTGTGGGGTTGTTTTCAAACCAATTGCTTTAAATGAAGTTGCATTCAGTGGTGATGTATGACTTCTAGATGAGCTTAAAGGGAAGCTAAAGGAGAGGACAGCTCAAAGCCATATAAATAGCGAACAGTAAATGGGATGGTGTCTTCCTTGTTACATCTCCTTTTCAGGTGTTAGAATTTATAACTTGCTCAGCAAATCTTCATTCCTCTAATACTGTAACCCTAAACTCAATTATTAAAAATGAAGTACTATTGCTCTCAATAGAATTTACTTCTAAGTAAACATATTATAAGCATATTGCACAAGTAACCACAGGAATGGTTTCAGGCATGCTTGCTCTCGAAGAGGCAGTCTGGCTTTGTCAGGACAGAGATTATCAGTGACCTTATCTCCGGTTCTGGTAGTTTAACATTCAGAAGTATATATGCACCGATACTTGAATTTCAGTAGGGAGCTTAAGTAGAAATTTTTGCTTCCACTGTTTGAAAGGCTGTCAGGAATCATCTGGCTCCTAATTGCAAAGTCAAAAGCCAGAAACTTGATTTTTCTAATTATTCTCTAAGAGATGCTGACACGTCAAGGCAAACTCTACAGAACAACATGGTTCTTTAGAAATTTATGCTGGGGTTTCAGTTTTCTGTATCTCTCCTGCCTGGATAGTCATTTCTCAGAATATTTGCATAAAAAGCAGACTCACAGAGTAGCTTAAGAATTGAACTAGAGAAACTGACAAAGATATACAGAAAATACCTCTCTTCCTAAAGTCACAGTAGATTATTGAAGTACAGAAAATGCAAAACACAATTTTGTTATTTTTGTCTAGACAAATAGTTGATTCACTTCACTCTTACTATAATGCAGTAGTACCTCGGTTCACAAACTTAATTCATTCCACAATTCTGGTCGTGAACCGAATTGGTCCGCAATCTGAGTCAAATTTCCCCATAAGGTTCAATGTAAATAAGGTTAATCTGTTCTGAACCATAACTTTATGTTATACATAAAGGATGGCATATAAAAGTTTTAAATAATACATTATTTTTTCTAACCACAAAAATATGAGCCACATCCCCAGGCTGTGAGCCCAGCTGCAGCTGCCTCGCTGAGCATGGGTAGGCCGCGGCCTTCTCAAGTCAAGCAGCTGCTGTCGTCAAGCGGCCGCCATGCTTTTTCCTCCTGCAGTGGAGAGAGGCAGGAGGCGCCCCGCTCAGCTGGCCGCAGTCCCATCCCTCCCCTTGGCCCTTGGAAAGCAGCCCTTACCTCCTTTCCTCAAGGGCCTCTCCCAGCCGGGGGAGCTGTCCTGCACCCGCCTCTCCAGCCTCCTGCTCCCACTCCCAGAGCCAGGCGAGTGCCTACAAGGGGACCTTCCTCCGGCTTGGAAGTGGGGTGGAAGCAGTGTGAATCCAGTCAGAAAGATATAGTAGCAAACCAGATCACAGGGAGGTATTTCAATGAGCCACTAGACTGATTATTGCTCCAAAACACTATTTTACCAACATACTAAGGAAAAAGGGGACAAATGGGACCATAAAAATTAGTATGGTTTTCTGTATATTTTATGCATGTCAATGATCTCCCTCACTGTATAAGAACAAGCACAACATGTTCTAGGGACTTAAAAGAAATATTGTGGGCAGACCATTCTTAGTTCTAAAGTAGGAACAATTCCAAACTTGTTGGTTGACCAATGGGGGTAGATGTATTTCTACTAAGGAATCTATGAATACTTTGAATTTAAGTAAAGATGGGCTTTAAAACAAACATGCATGTGTTGCTCATTACAAGCCATAGCAGCTCCAGTGTGAGTTCCATGCAGCTTATTTGAATAAGTCCTCTTAAACCTTCAGAGGTAATATCAGCAGTTACACCACCACCATCTTCTGGTTTGTGCAGAGCTTTTCAATCTCGTCTTTATGCAAACATGGGGGGGAGCATTTTTACACCTGATGCCAAGACTATTTATACTCTCTGTGCTTGTAAGTCAATTGAAAGAGCCGCACTGATCAAATGATGTTCCATCATCTTCTTTCTCTGTATTATGATAAAATTTCAAAAATGACAACATTTGTTATTGAAACTCTAATTCATAAAGTTACTCATGAAAATGACCAAGATGGCTGGCATAGTTAAGAATTTAAGTTGGAGGCTACTGCTAGTGAGTATGAACTGCAGTGTTTAGCACTTTTAAATACTGAAATAATTTTCTCCCAACATGGCTTTTAATGAACAAGTACACCCCTATGAAATGGCACTTCGACTTTTACCTTTAAGATGCAAAGTAAACACAAAAACGGTTATCCATCCAGCTTATAGTATCACCATTCAGCTACTCACCCAAAGCCACCACCTGCACAGTGACTGGCATAGATGTTCTCTCTGCTACCTTGTGCCAGCTTCCATTATGCTGTGGTACCCAGAGAGCTGCTTGGCAGAAGTAATAGCCAGAATCTTCAGGGCCCACATCACGTACCAACAGGTGGTAAGAACTTCGGTCCACATGGCTGAGACTAATGAGGGTAGAGTCACTAACTACAGAATCACGGTCCACACTCAGCAAAACCTGAGCATCTGCCAGAGTAGTATCCTGGGACTCACTGAAGTACCATGTGACTTCAGCTTGGAAGATGCCACTTCTGTCAGTTGTGAAGTTGCAGGTAAGGTCAAGGGAATCCCTGTCTGTCACAGATACATTGTTTCTAGTGATGAACACACCTAGAGCTGTGAAATTCAGTGGAGAGTACAAGAAAAAATGTGTTACTTTCAGCTTTGTAGTTCAGCAGGTTGTATTACTGTCTTGATCTACTGCCTAATTAATAGTTAGTGGTCTACACATATGCATTTATAAGCAAAGCTTAAGCTAGAGACCGCTGACTAAGCAACAGAAATCAGAAATCTTTCACATTTTACAAATATATACTTGTACAAGCTTCAACAAATGCACTCTATATCAGTTTTAAAGCCTGCCACCTTTCAACTGTACCTAGATATGTAAGACTCAAACATTTTTCTACTGAAATTCAAAGACCAGCTTAAAACGTGTTAAATTTTAGCTGTGGCATGAATTCCACCCTCCCAAACAAAGTGTTCCATTATATTAAAGCTGGTAAATGTGGCTATGTACCAGGGGTCAGGAATCCAGGGCTCTGGAGCTGCATGTGGCTCTTTCATCTCTCTGCTGCAGCTCCGTCGCTCAAAATATGCGTCACAAACGCCAATGTGCGGCACCTACCGGCACGCAATTTATTGAGCTTTTCGACCCCCGGTAAGCCAACCATGAATAAATCCAAGAAAAGAAAAGTTTCAGAATAAAACAGAACGTTTAATGGTATGTGGGCAGATTCATTTGCTTTCACTGCTGACGAGACTGGTTTACCTGTATGCTTAATATGTGGTGAGAAATTAGCAAACAACAAAAAGTCAAATGTTGCAAGACATTTCCAGAATAAACACACAGCCTTTGCTGAAAAATATCCGGATGGAGATGAGAGGAAAAAAGCCATTTTGGAACTGATGCAGAAGGTTGATCTGAGCAAAAATCATTTCAAGAAGTGGATTAAGTCTGCAAATTCAACCACATATGCTAGTTTTGTGGCCATTCAGGAAATAGTCAGACGCAGGAAGCCATTCACAGATGGAGATTATATAAAAGAATAATTCATTAAGATTTCATAAATACGAGGAGGACCCAAATAAACATAGAGTATTATATTTGAAAGTAACCTTCAATCCAGCATCTTTTTTTTTTTTTTTTTGGAGTTCAAAATGTTTGTTGCATGCAGAAATAAACATTTGTTTTCTCTGTAGCAGTTCATTGATTTCATAAATGCAACACACTATAGTTTTTTATATATAACATAAAGGTAAAAATGATATATGCAGTGTTATCTTCATTTTAGATGTCAAAAGGGTTTTGTGGCTCCCGGTGTTTTCTTTTCTGTAGGAAATGGGTCCGAATGGCTCTTTGAGTGTTCAAGGTTGCCGACCCCTGCTATGTACTATTTCTCTTCCCTGAAAGAGAACTTCATATCCTTCCCTGTTGTCTACAGCATACATTCACTTTAGTTCAACTTTACAGCACTTTTTAAAAACTGACTTCACGTGAATTGAGGAACTTGATGGAAGCCATGTGTGAATTGCCATCTCCATCCTGAAAAAACAAAAGAGGCTACTTTCTAGCAGACACACCCTCACAAAGAATGATCAATCAGATTTTTCAAACCAACCACTTCCAGAACCTAAACTCCATCTAAATTAGTTGGCATAACTGCATTCTCAAATTCTCTTTGTAGTTATTAAAGGACTTTAATCACTACCTGAACACACTTTTCAAAATGAATCATACCAATTTGGCAAGATATCAAAGTTAGCAAATTTCTCATTTTGTACAAATAAATGAAAAATAATTTCTCATTTTGCACCTGAGTGTGCACCTTCAGAAGCCTTGATGCTTGAAGGATCTTTTAACATTGCGGACCGAGCATCCAAAAGCCGAGCACCTGTGCTTAAGAGATACAATTGTGTTAACAGATGGTGCTTAGAATTTCGGACTGGGAGATCCAGGTGCTCGGTGTGAATCACACTGGGTGACTTTGGCCAGTCACCTACTCTTTGCCTAACCTACTTTACACAGTTGCTGTTTCACAGTGAGGATAAAATGGAGTGGAGGAGGACTAAGAAGTTGCCTAGAATTCCTCACAAGAGGGAAAATGGGTAGAATATAAATGTGATGTAATAATAATCACAACAACCAGGCGTAATTTATCAAAAGGTATTTAAACATAATTTCAAAAGAACAGATTGAGGCAATAAGCTTTTAAAGCTATCTTTCATTTATACCATTCTAATTATTAAGGCAGACATATTAAAGCAATGGCTTAGTGTAATAGGCTAATAGACTGGGGGAGCAGCAGCTGTCTCAGCAGTAAGGGAGAAGGAGGAAAGAGGAAGGAAAGCGATGGGGAATGACAGTAAGAGAAGCAGGCTGGAGGCTGAGCTTGTGAGCACAAAGAGGCAGCTATCAAGTTGCGTATCTCCCTGAAGATGCACACAAGCCTGCAGAAAAGCTGACAGGGTTCTCCAGGAAAGTGGAAGTAATGTAGGAAGGGGGTCTGGTAAGCAAATGAATTTGCAGGAGAGAGGATAGTAAAAGAAAGTGTGTTACAAGTCTATCTGCATAATCTGGAGGGCAATGAAGTTGGAGACAGTGGGGTCATCTGCAGCAACAAACAGAGAGAGGCTGAGAGAGAAAAGGGGTCTTCACAAGATTCCTCTTGTGAGACAGAGGGTTTTTCCTTCTTTGGATCAAACTAACCACCAGGCTGTGCAGGTGCTGCTTATATGCTCCAAATTTGAGCTTAATTATTAAAATGCAATCATAGCAAAAACAAAAAACCCGTATCTCCTGACTTACTGAAACTAAAATATAGGGTTACTAACGTATTTTTCCTTCCCCTCAGCATAAACAGGAAGTGAAGCTTAACAAGCCAGGGTATATTTACCTGTTGATTCCTCTGGCTGACCTTTGGAGCCTTAATGTAAATTAACTACAGATGCTCGAAGTGATTTTCAAGGAGAGGAAGAGGTGAAAGGCTTATGTCTGGCAAGCAATGGACACCAGCCTGTTTTGCTGGGGGCAGTGACAGCTTTGGAGGTGAGGCAAGCTTTTAGAATGGCAAGCTTCTCCTGTGCTTTCCCCAGCTGGAAGGATGCCTAACTTCCTGTGTCACAAACAGCAGAAAACTGGGGTCCCTGGCAACTCTAGCTGATTTATTCTCTTCTCCTCCCCATCCCTGATGGCAACTGTATACCCTTTGCAGTCTGGCATAATTCTAAAGACAATTACCATGCATCAAAGTCTTGAAAAACATTGCTAATTCAATGTCACTGTGGATTATGGCTCTGCTTTGGCACTGAATGAGCCCTAAAGCCTTTTTTGAGACCTCTAGACAAATATCCTATGCAGGTTACATAGAAACATAGAAGCTGAGCAAGTCAGAAGAGGTCTCCCGGGCCATCTAGTCTGACCCCTGGCTGCAGTCAGCTCTACTCATGACATGCCTACCATGTGCAGAAAGTAACATCTTGTGTAGGAGCCTAACTTAATGATAACATGTGAGAGTTAAAATACAAATAGTGCCCACAGATACCTCTGCAGGACTAATTCAAAGAATATGTCAATATCTTCATAAGTCGGTCTTCACAGTTTGGGTTGATATTTCATGCTACACAAACTTAAGACAGAAAATACTGTTACTATATTAATGAGTGCTGAGCTTATGGGAAGCACCACTCTATCTTTTCACCAACTGCTGATTTGCCTTACAGAGTACACACTCTACAACCAAAACCACCAGCACAGAGACACTTACAGGCAGTATCTTTTTATGAATATCACACACTCACCTGTTGGCTGCACCACAACATTTGCTACATCAGCAGTTTTCTCTTGGATCTTTTGCCATGAGCCATCTGCACCTTTCACCCACTCGCTGACTCGACACCTGTAGGCACCCTCATCTGTTGGAAGAGCCTGGGACACAGACAAGCGGTAAACGTCATCAGCCATGGCATCTAAGCGGACATCCCCACTGATATAGCGCTCAGTATATTCCAAACCAGGCTGGAACTTGCCCTCATGCGTCAGGGAAAGGATTTCTTGCCAGGCAAAACCATTCTTAAATTCCCAGGTCACATACAGGTGCGTATGCTCTGAAGAATTGGTGGAAGCTGAGCAGCGCAACTGAAATGCGTCGCCTTCTGATAAGTTCCAAATGGCTGTAGAATGTGCCATTGATCCAGTGAGAGTTAGGCCATCTTCAATCACTGTTTAGAAAAAGAAACATTATCAAACATATGGAATATAATAAATCATTTTACATAAAAAGTGACAATGAAGCTGAGTCAAGCTGCAGTAGTTTGTCATGAAAGAAATGACTAATTATACTAATGAATATGCTGAGCCAGAAGAAATCATCTGTTAGAAAACATGAGCAAAAGACTCTTTTAAATGCCACACTCTTTGCTCCAATTCAATCAATTGTTCCAGCAGCTCCCAACTCTTCTTACCGAGTAAAAAATTCCAAATGGAGAAATTTCTATTTCCATTGCATTGTGCTGTAGCCATAAATGTCGGACAGACTGAAATGCAATAGGAGTTATTTTCAAGAACTTTTCCTTAAATCAAAAGGATCAATTTGCTTCATGGAGTTCTCTAAAGTACTCCACACCCTGTTTCCATTAGGGGAATATACTGCAGTGTACTTTCACCAGTCAGTTTTACAACACAGGTAGGTGGCAGAGTAAAAGGAGGGAGTGCAGGTTATTATTACTGTAATATTTATTTATATTCCACCTATTCCCAGAGATTGGGACTCAAGGTGGCTCACAACATTCAAAAGTACACAAAAGATAAAATTAAAAACAATACAATTAAATCAACTACATCTTAAAATTAAATCACCACTTAGTTTTAAAAAAGTATAAAATAGAAAGAGTAAGGTTAATCCAACACAAACTGGATTTGGCCATTCCTAAATGCCTGCTGCTTACTGAACCATAATAGGGAAGATACCAGAGCCTCTGGGCACCCACCAAGAAGGCCCTGTCCTACATTCTTCTCAAGTGTGTCTGTGATGGTGGTAGGATCAAGAGAAGGGCCTCCCCAGAAGATCTTAGACCCAGATGGGGGAAAATACAGTCTTTCAAATAGCCCAGACCCAAGCTGTTGGTAACATTTGCTCCTGGTTCTGCTCCCTCTGAGCAAACTGCTATTTGACTCAGGAAGAATATAACACGCTGTTACCAACTCATTCTGAAAACTCTATCATAAAATCTTAGAACTGGAAGGGACCATTTAGGCCATCAAATCCAACCCCCTGCTCAGGGCAGGAATCCAGTGTAAAGCATCCCTGACAGACAACCCGTCTATGCTAGAACAACTCCAGCAACTAAGAATCTATTACCCCCCTAGGAAGTTGGCTCCATTTTATGACTGCTCTAACAATTAGGTTTTCCAGATATTCAACTGACATGCCTTCAACTGATCTACCTTCCTATAAATTAGGACTATTATTTTGTGACCTAAATGACAGAAAATAGGTTGTGGCCCTTTTCTAAGTCACAACCCTTTGGGCACATGCAAAGTGCTATAATATCCCCCACTCAGTCTTTTTGTTCTTAAGGCTTTCTGTCCTGACAGTGACTCTGAAGTTACAGGTGCAACTTCAGATTAGGGAGTAGATGAATGCCATTTCATGGGTGGGAAGGAGAGGAGTTAGGTTCAGCCAGGATACCAAATATGTTTACAGTGTCTCAGTTCCTCCTCCTTGTAAGCAAGGACAAAGGACACAAACAGCCAAAAATAGCTATGTCTTTTGCAAGGCAGAAGAAGTACAGAGACAATCTTTGATTGAATGCCTATAATCCTCAGCGTTCTGAAGGCTACAGGCAGCCATACTGCATGGCATTGCAAATGGCTTAAAAGCCCATAGTTTCTCTGAATGGGGCTGCAGGTAGAAGGACAATGAATTTGATCTAGTGGAGATTCCAGAGCAGCTACCAAGGCCTTCTCTTACACTTATGCCAAATGTGCCTTCAGTGCTGGCAGGATGAGAGGAAGGGCTTCTCATAAGGAACTTAAAACCAAGCCAAACCCACTCAGAAGAAAGTAGCCTTTGAAACAATCTGCTCACAACCCCAGATTAAGAATCTACTTCTGACTGATTTTACATACCCTTGTCCCATCAGGCATATATATATATATAAAGTTTATATTTGTAATATAACACAATATGTAAAAATAAACCCCCTCTTTTTACTGTCTATCTCCAGATTATGCAAAGACACAAGAGAATATGTATGATTATATTTGTACTCTAGATGCTCCACATAATGCTTGTTAAAATATATGGAGACCCAATACCAAATAGGAATCCCCTCCTCCTGTAGATGTACCTTTGACTTCGACTACAGCATTGTAATTTCCCTGAAAGACAGCATCTGTGCTGGGTGTAGTGCATCGATACATCCCTTGGTCGGTAGAGTGGATGTTTTCAATCACAAGTTCCACAGTATTGTTGCTATTTCGCTTCAAGGTGATCTCCTTTCTGTTAACCCGATCTTGATACTCCTGAGACGTGAACCAAGGGTCCCAAGTACTCACAACATGTACAAATTTAGAGTCCTGAGCAGGATTTGTAGAGAACTCCCAATCAAAGTTCTGCTCACTGGGTCCATCGTATTGAGTAACATTGCATGGAATCACCACCGTTGTGCCTTCAACTCGGACTAAGGGACCTACAGGCACCTTCACTATGCGTCCATGGCAGGAAACTGAAAAAGAATGCACACTATTTTGAATAAACATCATAATTATATTTCAACAAACAGGGAAGAGAGGGGCTAAGGGAAGAAAAGGAAAGGAAACTAACAATTGCCAACCAAAGCTATTTCCCAGTGAATTAGGGGGAGAGAATATCAGACTAAGTTGGGGAAAGACTCAAGATTAGGGTTGAGAAACCCCATTAGAACCTGTCCCTCCAAGCATTCCTGGACATCCTTGGGTGCTTGGCCTAGTCTTCCAAAGTCAGCTGAACAGGAGTTTGCAAACACTTGTGGACCCCCAGTTATGCAACTGCCAACCTTCTTCCCCAACAGGTGCACCCCAAACAGCCTCTGTACTTGGCATGGAAGAGAGGGACTACTACCAGTCATGTGGGGTTCCTTTCCTAGTAAACGCCTCATCACTAGCCTTCTCTGGTGTCACTGTCACCTGACACAGGAGAGGGATGCTGCTTGTACAAAGAGGGGCTTCGTTAAGTGGCCTGCAAATTCTGGGCATGCTCACCAGGAACTCCAATTCAGGGTTCCTGCAAAGCAGACTGGAGTCTGGTGAGCCAAGCCCAGGGAATCTGATGGATTCCTACCCCTGCAAATAAATTCCTCACACATCCCTACACAGGATCAAATCTCTGCCCAGATATGAAGCTACGTGGGTGGCCCTTGGGAAGTTATTCTTCACTACATCCTTATTCATGCTGTCACTGGGTATCAACTAGAATTGTGAATACTGTCAGCAGAGAACAAAAAATTATTGTTCTTTTCCCCGACATAATTTCCTTGATTCTTCATTTAGTCTGTGCTGCATGTAGGACCACAGTCTAGCAGAGTTAGCAACAAATTAATCTAGTACCCCCTCCTTTTGTTTGCAGCTAAAATACCATATATTGCTTCAAAAAGGAATAATTATGTTTTATGGTTTTTGTTATTATTGTCATTTATTTTTATCTGTATTTTCTATTTTTATATGCATTGTTGTTTATGATTCGGCTGTGAGCTACCCAAGAGAGCATTCTGGCTATGGGGCAGCATACAAATGCAATAAATAAGTAAAAGCTGTTTGCCCAGCACCATCAAGGTAGAATTACCATTTTTCCTAATATTTGGTGCTTAGATATTGTAGTTCCCAGTTCTTAGACTTACATATGGGTCTAATAAACCTTGCAGAGAACTATTTGCTTTCTTTATAGTATTTTTAAATGTTGTTGCATTTCAGAGATTTCTTGCTAATTTGTACTATTAACATTTTCAGGGTTTTGAGAATTTAGAGATTTTGAATAATTGTTTAATGTTCGCAGAAGGTTGCTCTAAACTACAGAGTGTTCTGTAGTTTGCCAAAGCAAAAGTCTCTTTTTCAGTCTGGTGTAAGCATGCCCCCCCCCCCCTTCAGACTGAGACTATAGTTCCAGTGGTTAAAGAAACTTTCGTTTTTCTTCCCCACCAATACTATCTGGATCAGGCCTCATACTTCCATGTTAGGATCTCAACCAAGATCAGAATCACATATTTTCTCTAGGCGGAACCACTAATTGGTTCAAAATTGAGAAAGGAGTTCGGTAAGGCTGTATACTGTCACCCTGCCTGTTTAACTTATATGCAGAGCACATCATGAGAAAGGCGGGGCTAGATGAATCACCAGTTGGAATTAAGATTGCTGGGAGAAATATCAACAACCTCAGATATGCAGATGATACCACTCTAATGGCAGAAAGTGAAGAGGAACTAAAGAGCCTCTTGATGAGGGTGAAGGAGGAGAGCACAAAAGTTGGCTTGAAACTCAACATTAAGAAAACTAAGATCATGGCATCCAGTCCTCTCACTTCCTGGCGAATAGATGGG